CAAACTTATTACACACTTCTATAACCTAAGAATAGCTCAGTCAGTTTGCACCGAAGTCCCTGTAGTTACTGAATAATAAGCCTTAGTGTGTAATAAGCCTGAGATTTTAAGGGGTTAACATGGGCTCACATGTTCGCTGGGACTCTTCAGCTTTAATGTTTCACGGTAACCGCTGTGTCGAAAGTGGTGAGATCATTTCTGTAGAAGCATGAGCTGTGAAACCTGTGGTCTCTGAGCAGGTTTCAGCCGTTTTCAGCAGCGTCCCGTTCACTTACGTCTGTTGGGAGAGACGAGAGAAAAGAAAAGAACCAAATGTTTGGACGGAGGAGTCAAAGTTGCTAGCCAGGGTTTCAAAAACTGAAAGGTATATCTCAGCAGAAGAGGCGTTAATACCACAGGATACGGAATTCACCCAGCAACGGACATAGACGTGGTTGCGTCTGTCCTCAACGCGTTAATATTGTTAGTGAGCTAACTTGTGGCGGGATTAGCGAAGGTCATGATCCACAGGACTGAACCTCACAGCTGAAAATAGAAGCTTCCCTCACTGAAGGATGAAGAAGGCAGTTAAAAGAGTCAGCCACACCAGCGGTAAGAGGCGTGTGGCCTTTGGAGGGAACACTACGCTAGTGTGGTTCTTGGAAGACAGTTAGCGAACTCTGCGGCTCGCTTTGGACAACGACTGGAGACACCAATTACGACTGGAAGCCGGTTCTCTGTGTGAAGCTGTGTGTGAGTACACGTTGTCATGAAGGAGACGTTCCAGCAGCGGTTGGAGCAGGAATGCTGCGGGATTGTTGTAGTTACCCACATTTTGCTTGGAGGAGGTGTTACGCACATGTGCTAGCTGAGAAACCGCAGCACAATACCGCACAGCTGTTCTCCAGAGAGGTTCTAACCCCCCTTTTAGTGCTGCTGAGGGATCAGGGATCACTCCATCTGGCTGCGAGCTCCACTCTGAGCTTATCTGTCTCAGAACCAAACATCCATTAAAGCAGTAGTTCAGGTTTCCCCCTTATGTAGCCCATTAGCCAAGTCTTGTTTGATGCCTGAAGTTTGCTTAGCACTGAAGGTACAAGGCTAATGTTTTGGAAACATATATATATATATATATATATATATATATATATATATATATATATATATATATATATATATATATATATAGACATGCTAAAATTGCCCCTAAGTGTGAGTGTGTGTGTGAATGTGTATGTCTGTCTGTTTGCCCTGTGATGGACTGGCGACCTGTCCAGGGTGTATCCTGCCTTCCGCCCAATGACAGCTGGGATAGGCTCCAGCACCCCACCGCGACCCAGAAGGATAAGCGGTTTAGATGATGTATTATGTATGTATATATATATATATATATATATATATATGTGTGTGTGTGTGTGTGTGTATATATATATATATATATATATATATATGTAATATATATATATATATGTGGTGTGTGTATATATATATATATATTTTTTTTTTTCCATATGGGTAAAATGCATTTCAGCAGGGAACACATTTAAAAACTGATGGTTCTTCAAGGGTTCTTTAGTAAAGAAAATGGTTCTATATGAACCATGAACACTCAAAGTGCATCGTGAGAGTGTTCTTCAGACTGATGGAGAACGTGTTTTGTATGGTTTTATATAGGATCTTTTTGGAAAGGGTTCTATATAGCACCAAAACTGATGTCAGTCTTCTTACAATAAAAGAACCCTTTTTTGTGCTGTACAGAACCGTTTTCCAAAAGGCTCTATATAAAACCATGTAAAACACATTCTCCATCCATCTGAAGCATGGTTCTATATAGAACCTTTTTCTTTCATCAGCACCCTTAAAGAACCATCATTTTAAGTGTGTAGCCTCTTAGCTCTAATGCTAAAAGTAGCCGATTTCAGACAAACAAACATGTCTTTGTTGGTAATGGAGTAACCAGCCATTTGGGAAACTTGTTGAACTGTTACTGTAGGAAAGCTGCGCTTTTATAGCCAAATATTAGTATGATTGCAGAACATCTTACCAATTTTATTCTTATGCCAATGAAAGTGTGCCTAAAACACAGCATGCTGCTCTTTCAAAAGGTCTTTCACTTAAAAAAAACATTAACACCGCAACTGCCACAAAGATCTTCTGTAGCGTAGCCTAGAGATCAATTTCATGTTCATACATGATGATAAATCGCTGCTGTCGGAACAAAACCACATATCTCCAACATGGTAACTTTACAGGAGAAGGAAAAAACATACTTTACTTTTAATGTAAGTCAATGGAACCAGACTTTTTTCCAAGTCATTTCGGGTCGTTTCTTTTGGTCTATTCATCATGACATTTACACACAATGTAAAGGGCAACAGGCATTTTCATATTATGGCAAAAACTCAAAATCGTCAAAAAATGGAGATACAAGGTTTCGTTCCGACAGCAGCGAAATGCTGGTTTGACCCTTCGACCCATCCTTAGTGGTGCAGGCTAAAGCCCAGGTGCAGCACACTTTACACTGCTCTCTTAAAATTAATTTTAAAGCGATACCTGCAGCACATTCAGCACACTGCACTGGACATTGCTATGGTCAGATTTAAGCAAGTAAGTGTGATTAAACTGGATTAACTACACAAAATAATACAATTAACCCCAATTGTACTACAAATTTGACAGTCCCAGTAGTTACAAGCCATCTAAGAGTTAAGCCCGTCCATTCCTTTCTGTGCCATCCAGTGTTGTCCATCTCCAGAAACGGACATCCCCTGAATCATTTCGGAGGCTGTTTGGCGTTCGGAGCTGATTTATGGAGATGAATGGGAGTTATTTGCTGCTCCTCTTTCTCCATCTTCACATCATTAAACTCTCCAGTTCCATCAACAGCTCTTTCCTTCACAGCTGTTATGAATTGGGTGCAGAGAGTTAATCTTCCACAGCAGAACATTTCTCTGGAGTTTTTTCTCTGGGTCTTCATAAGCCCTGTACTTAATAAATCTTTAATTTATTACACATGGAAGCGTTTATTACGGCTTTGAGGGTTGAGTGGGAGTAACCGTCATGTGGGAAAAGTGGTTGCCTACACTTGCGCAGCTTTATGCATGCTTGGGTAACGCTTTGGAGATCCAATGGGGCGTCCTTTTTTGTGAAACGATGCTCTATGTGTCTCAGGATGAAAAGGCCGTAGCTTAGTGACAGTAATTAAAATGAGCTGGGGCAGCGCAAGTGGGAAAACAAGATAGCGTTTCATAGAGACGTAACCCGGAATAGTGAGCGGCGCTGGAGCAGGAAATTTAAGGGATCGTTTTAAAAAATCTAACATTTTCCTCTTACTTCAAATGTAGTCAATCAGCCAAGACATGTTTGGACAAAATGGAGAGAAGAAGGAACAAGGTTCAGCCGTCAGTATGTCATACAGGGTCAGGCACCGCATTAGGAAGTTTTTTATTTTGGTAACACTTTATTTGGAGAGTCCACTTTGGATATTTTGTAGACACTTAATTTACTTTTTAACTAAATATCTACTAAATTGACCATAATTTTCTTTAACTCTAAACCTGGCACTGATCCTAACCCTAACCTTAACCTCAACCCAAAACCTAAACCCAGTCCTCACCCTGGTCCTATTCCTAACCCTAACCCCACCACTGTTTAGAATCAGCTGGCTTCAACAGATAGTTTGTTACCAATTTGAACATCTGTATATAATCTATAGTGGACTATCCAAACAAAGTGAGACCCCTATTTTTTCGATGAGATCCACTTATGAAGTTTGTATGACATTATGGACTAAAAACAGTCACAAAACAGTCTCTGTGCCTTTAAGACTGATGCAAATGAGCTCTGTTTTGATTGGTTGCCTGGTATTGTGTGGTCAAGACCAAGACCTGGACACACGAGTTTGGGTTCAGACCAAGACTTGGTAGTAATCTAGTCCCAGTCAAGACCAAGACCTGGACACATGGAGTCTGAGTTAAGACCAAGACTTGGTAGTAATCTAGTCCCAGTCAAGACCAAGACCTGGACACATCGAGTCTGAGTTTAGACCAAGGCTTGGTAGTAATCTAGTCCCAGTCAAGACCAAGACCTGGACACATGGAGTCTGAGATAAGACCAAGACTTGGTAGTAATCTAGTCCCAGTCAAGACCAAGACCTGAACACATCGAGTCTGAGTTTAGACCAAGGCTTGGTAGTAATCTAGTCCCAGTCAAGACCAAGACCTGGACACATGCCGTCTGAGATAAGACCAAGACTTGGTAGTAATCTAGTAATCTAGTCCCAGTCAAGACCGAGACCTGGACACATCGAGTCTGAGATAAGACCAAGACTTGGTAGTAATCTAGTCCCAGTCAAGACTGAGACCTGGACGCACTGAGTCTGAGATAAGACCAAGACTTGTTAGTAATCTAGTCCCAGTCAAGACCAAGAACTGGGCACACGAGTCTGAGTTTAGACCAAGGCTTGGTAGTAATCTAGTCCCAATCAAGACAGAGAACTGGATGCACTGAGTTTGAGTTAAGACCAAGACTTGGTAGCAGTCAAATCCAAGCTAAGACCGAGACCAGATTAAGACTTTTTCAGAATCTAAAGATAAAAGATATCTTCACTGTACATTTATTATCATTCATCATATATGATATACATTAAATGATATTGTATCATATGTTTTTAGGCTGTTGTTGATGTTCAATAATGATAGAAAAAAGTTTCCAATTACCCTACCCTGAGACTGAGACAAGTCAAAATGATACAGAGACCAAGAAAAGACCTTTAATTTAGGCTTTGAGACCAGATTTCAGTACTACAACACTACATAATGTAGAATATTTTAATGGAGAGAAATTATCCTTCAATAAAAACACCATTAAAATAAAATTATTTCCATTAGTGATAATAAAATACTGGATTCCAGCAGTCAGGCTGCTAACTCTTCTACTCACTGCCTCCCGGTATGAAACGATCCACGGTACCAGTCCGCTGCCCGGTGCTTTAATGAGCTCTCTCTCCTCTGATCTTTCAGGAGCTCCGCTGAAGCCCAGGAAGGAGCTGGTGTTCCTGGAGCAGCCATCGGGTCAGCTAGAGGTTCGCTGGTCCTCAAAGTTCAACATCTCGGTGGAGCCGGTGGTTTACGTGGTGCAGCGGCGCTGGAACCACGGCATCCACCCCAGCGAGGATGACGCCACCCCATGGCAGGACATGGCACAGGTGAACCCTAGGTTTCCTAGTTTATCTTTGTCTGGGAAAAAAAGCCCATTAGCTTGAATGCAAAAAAGACATTGGGGTTTAACCTCTAATTCACCAGGGTATATTTTGTTTTTTCCATCTGAATTTACATGACAAATCATAAGGCAAATTATTCAGTAACTACATGAAATAAATGTAAATCATTATTTTATTTTATTTTTTTGTAAAAGCTCCCCTCAAATTAACAGAACGTGTGTTTTATGATCACACATATTGCTATATGCTTAAAAAATTATTTGTACAGAGCAGATATATAGTTTATAGCCCAGATTTGTGGAAAAATGGGTCGACTTTCAGTAGAAAAAAAACTGAGTTCAGCTTCTTTTATTATAAGGGTTTAAAATTACATCACCATCTATTTGACTGGAAACAAGACAGTTACAGCTCTCATACGACCCCCACCTTTAGAATGTAGCTTATGAAATATGAAAGTTATGAAGAATATGACGAAGTGCGTTTTGGAACCACTGGTTCATCAAAACCGGTTGTTTTGATGTCAAATGGTCCTTCGTTAAGAAACTTACCGTCTTTGATTTCTTTACAGTGGTGGTGATAGGAACCAGGGGTCGCCATGACTACATCACAAATTTAGCCATTTAGTTTACTATCCAAAACCACCAGTGAACCTACACGAGTCTTCTGAGTTTATATGGAATGTTGATGATGGAAAATAGTGGATAATCTGAAAAAATAAGTTTTCTTTGAGAACTATTTTTCCTCAGAACGCCCTGCATGTATCCCTCCACCATGAATGGATTTAAAAAATATGTTTCAGGCCAATATATTTCTGTGAGGGAGCTTTTAGAGATGGACGTCTGGTTCCTATCAGCATCACTGTAACAATTCTGACTGTAGAATTTTTGCTGTTTATTCTGTCCTTTTCTAGATCACTGTTCGATCGGTTGACCGGTACCAGCACAATTCTGTAAAAGTGTTCACTTTGGGTTTTTATACATCATTTTTATGCATCAAATCATCCAGCAAGTCCAGTAAGATTATGTGGAACAGAGATTCTTAACCACCTTAGCCATTTAATTGCAAAAATTCTGAAAAGTTGATTAAATTTTGCTATGAAACACAAGCATGACTGGACCCTAATAAGTCTCATGCTTTATACAGGTGCTGGCAGTTAGTTTGAAGGGTCAGATCTGTGGCTGAAAATGCAATGAACTGTCTCACTGACTGGTTACAGCAGCAGGCACTCATTCATAGTGGAGATATTTTAAAATAGTTTGACCACTAAGCGTCTGTTCTGTCCACATATACCTGACCTCTGACCTCCATCCGTAACCTTGCCCCCTCTCTGACCCTCAGGTGGCGGAGGAGCGCGTCCAGTTGGTGGACATCAGGCCCAGCAGGTGGTACCAGTTCCGTGTGGCGGCAGTAAACGTCCACGGCACCCGCGGCTTCACTGCCCCCAGCAAGCACTTCCGCTCGTCCAGAGGTGGGTCCTCCTGGGTGGTCTTCACCCTCCTGACCACTCCCACTGCCCTCAATAACCCAATACTCCCTCACAGCACGGGGATAAGACATTACAACAGGTGGAGCCTTCGACTGACGGACTTTTACGACAGGACTTGCTCTTATAATCGCCCGGCTTAGCCAAGTGTGCTTCACGCCTGCCTGCCCATCCAGCACGGCTGGAGAAGGACACAATGGCCCTCATTTATCGGCCTTGAGTGTGAAAGCAGTACCATTTTTTGCGATATGCTTCAGTAAAAACCCTAATCAGAAAGATTTATGGAGCTAACCGATGATTGATGTGAACCTACTCGGTCTGTATATATCAATAAAACAGATCCAGACTGAAAAGGTCAAAAATCAAACGAGTTCAGACTGGATTCTGTTCCAAATTCGAAATGGCACTGCTTCCAATATCAGAGAGCCAGAAGAAATCAGGAAAAACATTCATGTCAAAAGAGTACTCGCTGCTTCTGCCGCGCTAATTAGATTAGATAGATAGATAGATAGTTGGATAGACAGATAGATAGACAGACACATAGACAGACAGACAGACAGACAGATAGATAGATAGAAAGAACTTCATTGATCCCGAAGGGAAACTGCAGTATTACAGTACCAAGACATATAATTCCACATAAACTTACATATACAATGCACAAAATAACAAATAGAAATAAAACTACACATAAGTTAAAGTATAAGAGAGTAGAAATAAAATAAAAGTATATCTATTTGCATATTTACATAGCATATGAGACAGATTTGTTGTGTTTGCATGAGAGCAGGCACTGAGTGGTGTGAGGTGAACTAAAAGCATGATGATTATAAGCATAACTGACTCGGAGTTGCAGCAGTATTACAGTGTAAAGTGCGCAGTGAGAGTCATTACAGTAGCAGGTTATGATATATTGCACAGTGTTTATTAACAAGAGAGGAGATACAGTGATGAGGTTCAGCTCAGCTCAGACAGCAGGAGATCAGTACCGTCTCTGCAGTGAGGAGACTCGCTGTAGAGCCGTATATCAGTGGGTAAGAAAGATCTCACACGGCTCTTTAACACAGCACAGCTGGAACAGTCTGACCTGAATGAGCTTCTCTGTTTATCCAGTGTAGCGTGCAGGGGGTGTGAGGTGTTGTCCAAGATGGCTAACAGCTTGGAAATTAAGATATGAAGTACATGAACTACTCCACCACAAATCTTAAAGAAATAGCCCGGTCAGAAATGCTGCTGCTGCTAACAGCAGATGAAAGTGAACAGCACTTTGTAGTTGTTGAGTCTAAGTCAAGGGCTCATACATAGACTTAGTAATCACGTCCAAGTTAAGACCAAGACTCGGTAGTAATCTAGTCCCAGCCACGCAGTCAAGACCAAGACTTGGACACATCGAGTCTGAGTTAAGACCAAGACTTGGTAGTAATCTTGTCCCAATCAATACAGAGACCTGGACACATGGAGTCTGAGTTAAGACCAAGACTTGGTAGTAATCTAGTCCTAGTCAAGACCGAGACCTGGACACATCGAGTCTGAGTTAAGACCAAGACTTGGTAGTAATCTAATCCCAGTCGAGACCGAGACCTGGACATCTTGAGTCTGAGTTAAGACCAAGACTTTGTAGTAATCTAGTCCCAATTATGACTGAGACCTGGACACAGCATTAAGCAAGTGACATGCTCATTGATTGTAACTAGCTTCCAATATTGTTAGCCATGTTAGCACATTTGGTTGAGCTAATCCTTTTACACTTCACCCTTAGCATTTCCTCCAAAGACCAGAGAAAAATACTGTTAATGAGCTTAAAGCCTTTGCTAATCAGATTTTTCCCCAGATTAAGGTATAAATTACATAAAATATCACACTTCCAATTTTAAATCAGTAGTTCAGTCAGAAATGCTGCTGCTGCTAACTGGCTCATCGGTTCTTACTAGCTTCCAAGTCTAGCCTATTACTAGCCTATTTGGTTGAGCTAATCCTTTTACACTCCAACATCAACATTTCCTCCAAAGTTGGGAGAAAAGTACAGTTCATTAGCTAAAACTAATGTTTAGATTCATTTTAATACATCCTAATTCATGCTAAAGCTTCACACTGGTTAATTCTCCCCGACAGCAGTAATAGGAGGCGTGCTCAGGCAGCATGTAGCGTGCTACACTCTCAACAAGCAGGAGTTTCATTTACACGGGCTTTTCCCCACTTTATGCTCACATAAAGTGTAATATGTCTGAATTAGTGAGGGGATATTGCAGGTTTGAAATACACACAGGGCTTTGTCGGCGTGCCAGAAAGTGAGGTAAGGTGTCTGCTTAAGATCTCCGCCACAGATTAGCAGGCGCAGCGCTGTGTTTAATGTAAAGCGACATGAAAGAGGTATTTAGCGTAGCACTTGGTTACATGCACCAAAGCTTGAGGCACTTCTTTCCAGCCTGATCTGACTGGGGCGAACAGCCTCACAGGCAGTTTCCTAATTGTGGATTACGCCAAGTTTTGCAAGTGAAATAAAAGTTGAAGTGAGCTGTTTTTTCTGCTTTTTTAAACTTGGGTGCTGGTCAACGTCTGGATCTGAAAGCACTGTAGCTGAAGTACGTCAGAGCGGTAGTAGCAGTCGTCTATAAACCATCATTGCTTTTGTCCATTACAGATAACAGTGGTTTATACAGTGCCAGAAACCACATAATCAAGTCTAGTGATTACTTAACAACCCCATACAGTCTGAAGCAGTGATTACGGTGATCTAGCCCCGTGCTGACTGGACACCTGCTCCTCCAGTGTTTGTTCTGAAATCCAGGGCATGAATAGGGAGTTGCTAATCTTCTGGAAAGGCTTTGCAATGGATGTTGGAACATTGCTGTGGTGATTTGATTGTATTCAGCCACGCCGCAAGAGCATTAGTGGCTTCAGTGCTAAAACTCAAGAAGCAAACTACAGCCAAACAAGTGTTGGCTGCTTGACTGCATTTACAGTTATGGGGAATTGTTTAACCCTCTACTGCACACATTATGAGAGCAATTTAAAAACTTCACTTTCTTGCATAAAGGGGTCCAGATTAATCAATTATATAATTATGAAATATATTATGATTATTAATAATCAACGTGATTATTCAATTTCAAAACATTTTTAACATATTAATTTGTGCAGGGGTCTTTTTGGAGTATGTTGCCTTGAGGCAACATTGTGAAATTATGGGAAGAAATGACGTAGAGACGTGTTCCCTGAAGTGGTGAGACTTGGCTTGTGACTGGCTTAATCTGTTCCACTGTCTCACAATGTTGCTTCTAGGCAACAAACCTATTTCTGCAAATTCTCGTAACACAAAAAAAAATGATACTGAATGTTAAAAAAAGAGGTTTAAATGTGCCCACTAAGAGAGAGTACGACCAAGTACATGCCTTTTATCGACTTACTCAAACTCCTCCCTTTGTTGTTAACCATTTTTTGTCTTTAAATATGTATAATGTTATTGTAAAGTGAGGAAAATGAGTTTGTTGCCCTGAGGCAACATCATGCAATAGAGGGTTAAATTACAAAATTACCAGCTGAAGGACAGCAATCATGGAATCCAGACAGACACTCCAACATTGATACGTCTACTTCACCCTCACTAATAAAGCTGTGCAAAGTCAGCTCACGTTAGCTTTCTGACCTTCCCTGCCTTTCCGTTGACCAGAAGTTGAAGAGCGCGTTAGGCCTCACGCAGCACGTTAGGTCCATCATATGATTTCAATTTCCCGCTAACATCATTTGTCGGAGCAATTTGCAAAAGCTTCTCTGGCTTATTTATCTTGCGCCGCTAAAGGTTGGGTTGCCGGTGACACGCGGCTCTAGCCGGAGTGGATGAAATGGCTTTCAGGTGGGAGCGAATTGTGGCATAAAGAGGAAACTGATTGGCTCCTAAATTGGGTCATTTTCTTGTTAGAGTCTCTGAGTTTACGTCATGGCTGAGACGCTGATCTAACCAGGTTTTCTGACCGGCCTGCTGGCCGAGGCTTTCTCTAAAGAGCAGTAGATTGAAGGAGATTGTAAAAAACTAAAGTGACTACCAGTCTAAACATCGAATTTACTAAGATTTCCCTCCTCACTCCAAATTTAGTTGATCAGCCAAGACGTTTTGTGTCCCAAGTTTGGTTTTAGCACTAATGTAGCTAAGAAGTAATGGAAGCTTAGCGTGGTGGTAACTGTAGGCCTAAATCATCACCTCAAACTATGTGGAGTTGTTTAATAACACTTTAATGCACGATTACTGATTACTTGCTGAATTTAATATATTTGGAAAAAAATGTAAAATGCAGCCTGTGCAAAAGTTATGGCACAGGCAGATAAATAAAAATAAGGCACAGAAATTTGCAGAAAAATGGTATATTTTATAAGTTTGCTCCCTGTGTAGGATACATCAGCTTATTTTCACAAAGAATGTCAACACAGCATATATTGGGACCAGGGTTGTTTGCTCAAATATGTTTATATGGAAGCATATTGGCAGGTAATATTGCTTGTTTGCAAAATTATCTAACAATGGATTGAAATTTTATTTTTTTTCAATATTATGATTTCACTGTTTAAGAAAGTTTTTGTTAAAAGTTTGGTTAAAAGTTTGCTTGAGAGAAAAAAAAAAACTTTTAGCACAACTAAACATTGAATTTACCAAGTTTCCCTCTTTAGTCCAGCCAAGATATTTTGTGTCCCAAATTTGGTTTTGGCACTGAAGCTACGAAGCTAATGTAGTTAGGCCTAAATCATCACCTCAAACTGTGTGGATTTGTTCAGTATCTCTAACAGACCTGATTTTATGGTTTCTGACACTCAGTGACTCACTGTGATCTATAAACATGGAATCAAAGATGATACTGTTTAGCAAAAGTTTAGGTGGCCAAAAAAATCCATGTTTTGTTGATTTTCTATGTAAAAAAGAAAGTTTCTCTTCATCCACTTCAGAGAACATTTTAAGGCACAATAACTGATTATTTGCTGATTTTAATATATTTGGGAAAAAAACAAAATGCAGCCAGAAATTTGGCACAGAAATGTGCTCCCTGTATGGGATACGTCAGCTTATTTAGAAAATCAACACAACATGTAATCTGTTCAAACATTTGCTAATGACTGTGTATTGGCAGATAATTTTGCTTGGTTGAAGAAATTTTCTTGAAACAAGCACAATTATTAGCCAGTGGATTGAAATATTTTTTAGAAAAAAGGGTTTAACAAAGCTTTTGTTAAAAGTATTTGTTTGAGAGAAAAAACATTTTTTGCACAACAGAAGAAAGAAAGGTGGAAACAAAGTCTGGAGCTGTTTTTCCACACTGGTGTACTCATGGTGATGGTGAACTCAAAAGACTACAAAAGACATTTTTTGGATGCAAACCTGCAGAAGAAATAACAAAACAAAACTTAGCAGCTACTTTGTGAAAGAACACTTAACCAAATAGTAAATGCCAGTGTTGGAACGGTCTGTTCAAAATAAACACCACTTGGCTTGATAGTCTGTTTTCTGTAATGCACAATTACTGATTATTTGCTGAATTGACGATATTTACGAAATAATGTGCAAAAGTTATGGCACAGGAAAATAAATAAAAATAAGGCACAGAAATTAGCAGAAAAATGAAATATTCAAGTTCTTGCCTGTTGAGGATATGATAGCTTATGTTTACAAAGAAAATCAGCACAACATGTAATTGGACCAGGGTTGTTTGTTCAAACGTTTGCAAATGACTAAATATTGGCAGATAATTTTGCTCATTTGAAGAAATATGCTTGAAAAGAAAGAAAGGTGGAAACGTCAAAGTCTGGAGCTGTTTTTCTTACACTGATGTTGCTGATCATGAACTCAGAACAGTACAAAGGCAGAATTTTGGATGCAAACCTGCAGAAGAAATAACAAGCTGAAACTCCCCAGCCACCTAATGAAAGAACACTTCACCAAATATAAATGCCAGTGTTGGAACGGTCTGTTTAAAATAAATGCCACTTGGCTTGACAGTGAACTGAATGCATTTTAACTATGGCGCAAATGTCCAAATACTTTTTGGGGCCGCTGTATCTATTTATATGTCATTTGGAAACATGCAAACCATCATTCATTGTGTCTGATGACTGAAGTGAGTGTGGGAACAGTTTCTGGGAGCAGATGTCTGGCTCTGTTCATGAGAACTGTAGACGCTTCAGGGTCCTCAGTGCTGTTTGTTGTCGGGGGTTTAAAGGCGGCATCGCTAAGAAAAATGACAGAAGGATCTGATGGATGACGGAGGTAAAGCAGCTTTTCCTGTGCTGTAGGTGTTCCCTCCCCGGCCACTTTATCAGAAACTATGTGCTTTCTTGTGCAGTTAGAGACCTCAGCTCATCGGTTAATGTCCAGTTTGTGTTAGCCTTCCTCCAGCCCTTCATCACTGGTCAGTTTCTGACCACAGAGCTGCTCTTGGACACTAAACATGTCTTGTCTTATTGACTATGATTTGAGTAGAGCCTGACCGATATATCGACCAATGTTGACGACTCTGAGTCACCAATAATCTCCAACTCTTTTGCGACAATATTTGTATTATTCAAAGGGGAACTTCTTTACAGTGGTGGTGATAGGAACCAGGGGTCGCCATGACTACAACACAAATATAGACACTTTATTTACTATCCAGAACCACCAGTGAACCTACACGAGTCTTCTGAGTTTATGTGGAATGTTGATGATGGAAAATAGTGATAAATCTGAAAAAAAAATTGTTTGGGAACTATTTGGCCTCACAGCACCCTGCATATTATGTATCCCTCCACCACGAATGGATTTTTATGTCAAAATCTTCTCAGAACTATCATAAAACAGTGTCTCAGTCATCAGGCAGTGAATTCATAACCATTTCATGTAGGAACTTTCTGTGAGGGAGCTTTTAGAGGTGGACGTCTGGTTCCTATCACCACCACTGTGAACAGTTTATTTGAGTTTATGAAGTGTGCCCAGTGAGAACTGACCATTGTTTTAGTCAGTAAACACAGTTTAAACGTGGACAGTTGGAGTGTAAGGTTAAATTTTAAGATATAAATATAAATTGTAACAGCCGATATTATCAGTTATCAGAATTTGTAACCCCTTAAAATCAGCATCAGTGTCAACCACAACATTTTCGTATAGATTGAGGCCTAATTTGGGGAAAAATTGTGTGTATTTGGTTTGATATATTGTTTTTTATGAATGCATGTTGTCCTGTCCTCCACAGACCCGTCCCCTCCTCCGTGTCCCTCTGGTCTGAGGGTGACCAATGTGTCGGTGGGGGCTGATGGCCTGCTGACTGCTCGGCTAGACTGGACACTGTCTGAAGAGTCTGATGTCCCTGTCCATCACTTCAAAGTGTTCTGGAGCTGGACGGTTCCTGGAAAAGCAATGGTGCCCACCAAGAAGAAAAGGAGAAAGACCACCAGTGGGGTAAGGATCTCTACTGATCCCCTGAAATGGGCAGGACCAGCTGACGGGCCCAAACTATTATTACTCACTTTTATAACCTGGGAATAATTACGCTAGTTAGTATTATAGTTTATATAGACACCAAATAATAGCCTTTGATGAAATAGGGGTTTAATTTCAGCTTTTTTCATAATGTGTGACCAGAGAGAAGAAGGTAAAACGAGAAATACGGTGTTCTCTAACTTGACGTTAAATTGTTTAATTAAAGTAAAAAGTAGAATAACTCAGCCTTACTGCTTTTGCCATGTTTTTGTCACATTTTTTGTCATAAACGGACAAAAGTGCAGACTTGTCTGTCGATGCAGAATGGAAATCAAATAAAAATGTAAGTAATTACACACCCAGCTGTGCACTGAATTATATATAATTATATTTTTATTATCATTTTGTTATATATTTACATTTTAGATGTCAAATATTTAACTGTTGTTGTATGACTAATTGTATAGTTACATAATGAATTACATTTACATTTTATTTACTGGCTCTATTACAAACACCTACCTTGTACTCACACTCACTGGCCACTTTATTGGAAACACCTACCTTGTGCTTCCACTCACTGGCCACTTTACTGGAAACATCTACTTTGTGCTTCCACTCACTGGCCACTTTATTGGAAACACCAACCTTGTGTATGGACAGGTCTGAGTCTGCACTTCTCAGGTTCTTCTGTTTGTTTTGACATGAAAACATGTATTTTTCTTTCTGTAAAACAAGACACAACAATAACTTTTCATCAAAATCAAACCATGAAAAAACATGTTCTCTTCTACCTACAAACACAAATGTGGTTTGGATTGAAAGTTTATAATCTGCACTTTCCACATCATTTCTCCCCTTGTTTCAATGAGTTACAAGTAATTCATATAAAACTATTACATGATTCTGTTACTGCCAGAACCAGCTCCAAAGCCCAAACACAGAGAGACAGTGGCTTTGACTTGTTGAAGGAGAACAATTGCAGCTACACTCCTGTTATCAACACTTATAAAATGTTATGACATATTTTATTGACTTAAATGGCTGAGAAAAACTCACTGGCCACTTTATTGGAAACATCTGCATTGTGCTTCCGCCTACTGGCCACTTTATTAGAAACACCCACCTTGTGCTTCCGCTCACTGGCCACTTTATTAGAAACACCTACCTTCTCACTGGCCACTTTATTAGAAACACCCACCTTGTGCTTCCCCTCACTGGCCACTTTATTAGAAACACCTACCTTGTGCTTCCACTCACTGGCCACTTTATTAGAAACACCTACCTTGTGCTTCCGCTCCCTGGCCACTTTATTAGAAACAGCTACCTTGTGCTTCCACTCACTGGCCACTTTATTAGAAACACCTACCTTGTGCTTCCACTCACTGGCCACTTTATTAGAAACAGCTACCTTGTGCTTCCACACCCTGGCCACTTTATTAGAAACACCTACCTTGTGCTTCCGCTCACTGGCCACTTTATTAGAAACAGCTACCTTGTACTTCCACACCCTGGCCACTTTATTAGAAACACCTACCTTGTGCTTCCACTCACTGGCCACTTTATTAGAAACACCTATCTTGATGCTCCGCTAGGTGTCACTGTTATTAGAACCGTAGCTACCTTGTGCTTCCGCTCACTGGCCACTTTATTAGAAACACCTACCTTGTGCTTCCGCTCACTGGCCACTTTATTAGAAACAGCTACCTTGTGCTTCCACTCACTGGCCACTTTATTAGAAACACCTATCTTATAGCTCCAGTTAGGTGTACTGTTATAGACCGTAGTCTATTTGTTTTTAATTTTGTTTTTCTTATTATTTTTCAACTGTTGTTCTGTATTATCTTACTTGTTATTATCACGGGCAGTTTAAATGTGTAACCCTCGGCAGAACGGGTTTGTTTAATACCTGACAGATGTGTCACTGAAGGCTTTAAGGTTCGGATTGTGGGATCTGTCTGTTTACACGTGTACCGCCCGGTGACCCGCTGGAGCAGGAATGCCAAAACAAACACGGCCAATAACTAAATCCAATCAAACGCCTGCTGCTGGCGGAACGCTCCAGAATTAAGCATGAGGTAGCCAAGCACCAGGGGGCTTTCTGAAGTTTCGGAGTGGAAATTCTCACCATGTTGGTGCACACAGAGCACATATGCTTCCAATAATCACTCTCTTCTGAAAGGATTCTGTTTGGTGCCTTTAGCAGGACAGGCCAGTTTTTTCAATTTAATTTGTATTATAATTTTTTTATTTAATAATTCTTTCTGTGAAAGTTATTATCTGTTAAAAAGTGTTTCAATTTTATACACAGATCTTTCATTGTTTAGCAAAGCCTGCAGTTTCATTTTAACCCCTTAAAATCTCAGGCTTATTATATATTAAGGCTTATTATTCAGTAACTACAGCGACTTCAGTGCAAACTGGCTGAGCTGTTCTCAGGTTATTGAAGTGTATAATAAAACTTTGGGCCATTTGAGGGGTGAACATATGCAGTACTGTGCAAAAGCCAGAGACCCGTACACTTATTTATGTTGGAAAAAACTGTGCCCACTCTTTCCCTTTATTCCAGCTTCCATTCCTTTCAGGAGCCTCACTTTCAGTTCCTCAAAGAATCTGCAGACACACCTCCAAAGTTCAGTCTTAGAAGCTGGTTGATCATTTTCTGAAGTAATCAAACCCATTCAGTGGTGTTGAGGTCTGGACTCTGGGGTGGTCAGTCCATCGTTCAGCTTCTTTGTTTGATGTGTCCGTCTCCTTTTCTCAGTGAGGTTCTTCTTGATCAGCTACACATCCTTTCAGACCCACAGCGCTGAGTCGTCTTCTCACAGTGGAAGGATGGACAGAAACACCTGTGGATGTTTTCAGATCTGAAGCAGCTTGATTTTCTCCTCTCTCTCAGAGATGAAAGCTTTAAGTGCTGTTTATCTGATCGGGGGCAGTTTTTGGTGTCGACCAGGTCTTCCAGGTGGTTGTTAGGAGACACATTTTCTCTGTAGCTTTGAATCAACATGTAACAGTAAAATCTGAAGTCCAGCTAGACTTTCATCTTCCTTATCGCTGTTGTCAGAAGAAAACCTTGTATCTCCAAAATGGTAACTTTACAGGAGAAGGAAAAAACCTACTTTACTTTTAATGTAAGTCAGTGGAACCAGAGATTTTTCCAAGTAATTTTAGGTAATTTCTTTTAGTCCATTCATCAAGAAATTTACATACAATGTAAAGGCTAGGTTTTCTTCCGACCGCAGCGTTCTGCAAGTGGATTATCTAACGTCTAATCTCCTGAAAAACTTCAGTTTACGAGCTGTTTAGACTGAAGAGTGGTCTCTGACTTTTCCACAGTACTGTATAAAACATAAGTATTTGATTATATCACATTACATATGAACCTGTGCCCTGTATTCATCTTACATATTAGGATTGTATTAGTATTTTGCCAAATACATAACAGCACAAAAGCAGATCGTTACTAAAGCAGGTTTAATTGCATCAATGTTGGTGAATTTCTCTTTTTACTGCCCAATGTCTTCAAAAAAATGAAAATTTGTTTCTCAACTATTCAAGTTTCCATGATTTTTCATGCACAGCCTCAGCCTCATGTGTATTTGCTGTTTTTAGGCTAAAAGTTCAGTGGATTTAGAGGGTCTGGTGGGGAACAACTCGTACACCGTGGAGCTGCAGGCCGTGGCGTATTGGGGTCAGGTGCGACTGAAGAGCCCCAAAGCCTCCCTGCAGTTCAGCACCGCGCTGGACACCCACTCAAGTACGACTCTTTCACATACATCTCATACTGCAGCTCCTTAGAACTCAGAACCGAGCAGTTTGTTGATTGTAAATTGTGTCTGATTAGAATCGCTGACCAAGCTGAAGAAGGAGGAGTTTTCCGCGGGGAAGCGACCCGCGAGCACGCTGGAGGTGGGCACACCGTTCTACCAGGATGGACAACTGCAGGTCCGCGTTTACTGGAAGAAGAGAGGAGGTACTTAAACTTCAACAGACCAGCACAAGTCTAGGTCCAAAAGTTTGTAGACACCAGCGTTTCTCCTGAAATGAAGGGTATTAATAGCGAGTTTGCCACTGCTTTACTGCAGTAACATCCTCTACTCCTCTGAGAAAGCTTTACACTAAGTGTTGAAACACTGCTGTGAGGATTTCATTGCATTCAGCCACAAGAGCATTAGTATAGGGCCTTCCAACCCTATGTTTTTTCATTTGTGCACACAAGTGATGCATAAACTCAATAGAGAGCCGGTCAAATCACACATTCTTACTTGCTGTAGCGTTCCAAACTACCCATGATGTTCTTGAAAACCCAAAGGGGGCTGCCACAATTCCTCACTACAGGGGTGCCCATACTTTTGTAGCTTTAGGTCTACTTTTTCCAGTGGACAGGCCATCATGATCTACCTTTAAAAAAAAGGGTAGGTGTGTTTTGGTTTGTCCATCTGAATTTACAGGCCCAAATTGAGACAAATTATTCTGTAATTGCCTGAAATAAATGTAAAGCTTTTTTTTTTGTAAAAGTTTCCATCAAATTTACAGAAAATGTGTTTTATGATCATAAAGTTACAGTTTATTGCTGAAAGCCAAAAATCTTAGATGCTCTTAAAATAATTTTTACAGAGCAGATCACTGAAGAGACGCCATCTGAGATCCAGTTTACAGCCCAGATTTGTGGAAAAAGTAGTGAGTTCAGCTTCTTTTATTATAAGGGTTTAAAATTACATCACCCATCTATTTGACTGGAAAGAAGACAGTTTCAGCTCTCATACGACCCCCACCTTTAGAATGTAGCTTATGAAATATGAAAGTTATAAAGTAAAGAATATGACGAAGTGTGTTTTATAGGTTAACACGGAGTTAAATAGGTTAAAAGGTTTTAAACTTTTTAATGCACTTAAGTGGCCTATACTGATGTTCAGCATTACAGGACAAACAGCTGAAAATCACACTAACCTTATTCTGATTATTTGCACTGAATGAGGTCAGCAGGTTTGTGTAGTCTGGACAAATTTTTTCTTCCTGAGTTCATTTTTAGCTGGGAATTCGTCGCCGTAGTTTCTGTGTATATTTCGTAAATGCCTCTCGATGTTCCCCTTCTTTGGAAGTGCGATGGCTGCTTGGCAAATTAAGCAGAAGCATTTCTAGTTTGACACTGTAAAAAATAGTTTATTCTCTTATTCTGCATGGAAGATAATTTTCGGTTTCTGTATCTCAGCCCCTCTTCATAGGCTCATAACTCTGGATGTGAGTCACATAGGATCTCATGATAAGATGGAATGGAAAGGGCGACTCTACAGATTCAGTAAATGTTTGAACTGTATTTCTGCGCTGGATTATCACAAAGATACACAAACAGATATAGAAACACTGAATTTGACACGGTGCATTCGTCCACGGTTTCACTCATTCAGAACATAAACACTATTCAGAAAACAAAAAAACGGCTTCGGTCACAAGAAAGGTTAAAGTTCAGGAAAATCATGAATGTATAAAATTGCTCAAATGTGATGATCTTGTTGGCCTCGTACAGGAAGATTCAGCTAAAAGTTGCAAAGGTCCAGTTACATCAGATTTCCTGCTGACAAAGGTCCAGACAAGCTAATATCAGGGAACAGCAACAACGGCTACCTTTAATTGCTTAATTATTAATGATTAGCCCAGAAAACTAATGAAGTAACGTAAAAAACACAAACACATTTTCAAGCGTATTTTGACTTGATTCTGGTACTTTTATGATCCAGTGATATTTGAATGAAAATTGAATTGCCAAAATAGAAAATTAAATAAAAAAGGCTATTTTTTATGAGGATGGATGAGCACTGTGGTGGATCTTTAATCTTAAGTTTTGGGTTTAGGTGTCAGTGTGAGTCAGTCCTTAGTGATTTCCTTTGGTCAAAATACAGACAGAAGCGCAAATCAACCAATTACAGACAAGAGGCAGATGACGGACACACGAATCCACCAGGTCTACATGGTGAGAGGCAGATGACGTGTATCTCAGCCCCTCTTCATAGGCTCATAACTCCGGATGTGAGTCTCGTATGATCTCGTGATAAGATGGAATGGAAAGGACGACTCTACAGATTCAGGAAGTGTTTGAACTGGATTTCTGTGCTGGATCATCACAAAGATATGAACAGAAACACTAAGAAACATCTAGTTTGACGCGCCAGCGCATTTGCCGGCCCCAGAGGGTTAAAGCAGTAATTAACACTGAAAGAAAAGAGCCAAAGTGATCCTCGTTACTGCAGCTCCTTTCAATTCACACAGCGTTCCCGGTCTGCAGCCCTAAAACAGCCCAGTTTCATTAATAGGACTTGACGTCGTCTCTCCTAAACGTCGCTGATGAACCCCAGAAGGGTTAAAGTGTAGGTTTCTCCCGCAGCTCCCGCCGCTAACGCCGCAGCGGAGATGCTGAAAGCTTGAAAGGCCGCGCTCGGGGCCGCTCTGTCAGCTCTCATTCAGGACTTCCCATCAGGCCGCACATAAACGTCATCACCTTGGCCAAACTCTGCGTGACGGATCCGGGAAACTCCTGAAGCTGAGGGAGGCCCGGCGCCCGAGACCGAGCGGCCGCGCGCTCGATGCTAATGAGGGAAATTCCTTCTCGTCCGGAGCTGTTAGCGTTAGCTTAGCACTAGCATTAGCAGGAGTGATGGTGATTCGACTCGGCACCTTCTGAAGCACGAGCGCTCTTTACCATAAAACAGGAGAATGGGGTCTTTATTTATCTAGAACAGTTCTAAACCCAAGATACAAAGTGCTTCACAATAAAATGACAATTATATACAATTATATACAAGTTAATCACTTAACAGTCATTGTTTATGTTATCGATTGTTATTAAAACTTTATTTAGCGGTTATGTTTTTAATTGTAATTACACTCTTAACAGTTATTAGTTGAGTTATTGATTGTTATTAACACTTCACAGTTATCGATCACACTTAACTGTTATTTGTTAAATTACTAATTATAATTAACTTTAATTAACAGTTATTAGTTGTAATTACACAGTAATTAAGGCTTGTTATCTACTGTAATTACACACTTAACAGTTACTGCTTATGTGATTCATTGTAATTCCCTAACTAATAGTTATTAGTTTTCTACTGTAATTACACACTTAACGGTTGTTAGTTAAGTTAGTGGTTGTAATTACACACGGAACAGTTTTTGGTTATCAGTTGTAACTACACAGTAATTAAGGCATGATTATTTACTGTAATTACACACTTAAGAATTACTGGTTAAGTGAATCGTTGTAATACCCAACTAACGGTTATTTGTTCACTATTGTAATTAAGCACTTCAACTCTAATTACACACTTAACAGTTGTTTGTTAAGTTATTGATTGTAACTACACATTTAACAGCTGTTAGTTAAGTCAGTGTGTGTAATTATAAATGGAACAGTTGTTAGTTATTGATTGCAATTACACATTTAACAGTTCTTGGATATTAGTTGTAATTACACATGAAGTAAGGCAGGGTTATCCACTGTAATTACACACTTAACAGTTATTAGTTAAGTTCTAGTAATATATGTTATATGTGTGTTGAAGGACAGATCAGGGTCATGACACCAATCATGACACCAAGATTTTTTACAGATGAACCTGATGCAACTGAGAAATTGTTAAGTTTAAGTGTTAAATTAGACAGTTTGTTTCTGGCTGCTTTTGGACCAAGAAGTAGAACCTCTGTTTTATCCGAGTTAAGTAGGAGAAAGTTACTCAACATCCAGTCATCCAGGAAGTTTATGCCGTGTTTACTGATAATGGTGCCCAGTGGTAGCATATATATTGTGAATAATATAGGCCCTAAAACAGAGCCTTGTGGAACACCATACTTTACTTTTGCGAGGACAGATGATTCACTGTTTACATTAACAAACTGATAGTGATCAGTTGGGTAAGATCTGAACCAGGAAAGAGCTGTTCCTGTTAGCCCTACAAGGTTTTCTAGTCTATCTAGTAAGATAGAGTGGTCTAATGCCGCACTAAGATCCAGGAGGACTAGCACAGACACATTTCCTTGGTCAAAAAATAATAAAAGACAATTTTTACTAGTGCTGTCTCTACTATGATGTGGCCTAAAATCAGACTGAAATTTTTCATGTATATGATTTCTATAAAAATAGGAACTTAATTGTTTTGCTACAACTTTTTCCAAGATCTTAGATATAAAAGGGAGATTTGAGACTGGCGTTATAAGGTAGCAGGTGTGTAGAGTTTAACTATGCATTCTGAATTTTTACAACAGTTATTAGTTAGTATTAGTTAAGTTATCGATTGTAATTACACATTTAATAGTTATTAATTAAGTATTAGTTAAGTTATCAGTTGTAAGTACACACTTAACAGTTATTAGTTAAGTATTGATTGTAAATACACACTTAATAGTAATGTTATCATTTGTAATTACACACTTTACAGTTATTAGTTAAGTATTAATAAAGTTATCGATTGTTATCACACACTTGTTATAAGTTATCATTTGTATTTACACACTTAACAGTGATTAGTTAGATTAGTGGTTATAATTAAGTTATTGATCGCTATTAAACACTGAACACCTACCTGTAAAGTTTTTGATTGTAATCATACACTTAACATTTGTTAGCTAAGTTATTGATCATTATTAAACACCTAAACTATTGATTAAGTTATCAATTTTAATTACACACTTTATTATTTTAGTTATTTGTTAATCATTGATTATAGTTAACGCATAACAGTTATTGGTTATTGGTTAAATTATGGATTGTAACTGTTAAATAACACAACAGTTACTAGTGAAGTTATTGGTTGTAATTACACACTTCACACTTATTGATTATTCTTGTAAATACACACTTAACAGTTATTGATTAAGTTACTGGTTGTAATTATTTGCTTTAATTCCATTATTGAACCAATAATGCTAATAAAATGTTCCCATTTATTGGTGAATAATGTATCGCTGGACCGTGCA